GAGCAACACTGAGCACTCAACTTCTTTGGTCGACCATGGCGAGGCCTGTTCTGAGTGGAACCTGTCCTGTGAAAGTGTTGTATGGTCTTGCCCACCATGCTACAGCTCAGTTTCAGGGTCTTGGCAATCTTCTTATAGCCTAGACAATCTTTATATAGAGCAACAATTATTTTTTTCAGATCCTCAGAGAGTTCTTTGCCATGAGGTGCCATGTTGAATTTCCAGTGACTCGTATGAGAGAGTATGAGAGCAATAACACCAAATTTAACACACCTGCTCCCCATTCACACCTGAGACCTTGTAACACTAACGAGTCACAGGACACCGGGGAGGGAAAATGGCTAATTGGGCCCAATTTTGATATTTCAATTTAGGGGTGTACTCACTTTTGTTACCAATGGTTTAGACATTAATGGCTATATTTAGTTATTTTGAGGGGACAGCAAATTTACACTGTTATACAGGCTGTACACTTACTACTTTACATTGCAGCAGAGTGTCATTTCTTCAGGGTTTTCACATGAAAAGATACCAGGCAGTTAGACCGCCAAGTTACCAGATTTGCAAAAATGGGATGTTAATACACATGCCTGGACCCCAGAAGCACTTGATGCCTTTAATTTTTTTTAAGACCACATATCCTTCTGTTCCTGTTCTTCAGCATTCTATCCCTTCTTTGCCTTTTGTACTGGAGGATGATGCCTCAGAGGTGGGAGTGGGAGCAGTACTGTCCCAAAGAGAGTCATCTGACAAACCATTGCATCCTTGTGGGTTTTATTCCAAACAAATGTCTAAGACTGAAAGAAACTACAATATCAGCAACAGGGAACTTCTTGACATCATCATAGCCAGTGGTGTATCCTGTTTTTTTGCTGCCCTAGGCATCACCTTCCTTCTTAGATACAAAAAAGAAGCTTGCCCCGGCCTGAGAAGAGGATGTCCTGATAAACCCTTTCGGTAATAATTCCTTGATGTACTCCTCCATGACAAGGTTCTCTTGGGGAGACAAAGGATACACTCTCCACTTGGGAGGTATAGAACCAGGTAGTAAATCAATCGTACAATCGTACGGTCTATGGGCTGGTAGCTTCTCAGCTTCTCTTTTGTCAAATACCGCTCTTAAAGACATGTACCAAGGAGGTATAACAGTAGACAAAGGAGGAGCTGTTCAAAGAAGTAACTTTGGTGATTCGAGACTCGTGACATTTTGTACTCCATGATTCTACTTGACCTGACTCCCAATTAAGAGTGGAATTCTGTAAAAGCAACTAAGGATACCTTATTACGATTTGAGAAGAAGGAGAAGAAATGACCTCGAACCGAACCATTTTGGTATGCAACAACCCTGTAGAGTAATCACCGGGGAGCATAATGGTCTACCACCTATACCAAGGGTGTTTCCTTCTCCCTTAAGGGTATCCTGTATGACTTTACAAAGTTGGAATCAATGAAGTTCTCAGCCGTACAGGAGTCAACCAAGGCTAGAACATTCCCTATATCTATTAAACTGTTAAACGCAGGGAAACAGGTAGAAGCAGTCTATTTAGAGCGGAATGTGGGGGCTCTGATGTCACATCCAAGGACAGTCCCCTATTTGGTCTTAGGTATGGGAGTTTTCCGGCAGAACGGGACACTCTCTTCACATGTGACCTTTTTTGCCACAGTAAAGACAGAGTCCTTCCTTCCTCCTATACAGTTTTTCTGCATCAGTGAGCTTGGTAACCCCTAATTGCATAGGTTCTACCTCTGATACCGTGGAAATCTCGGGAACATCAACCTTTGCATAACAGATACAGTAAGGAGTCTATTTCTATTCCTGGTGTACTGTCTATTGAATTCTATTGTCTATATCAATGAGGTAGTCAATAAGAACCTTCATGGCTACAGAGAGGTCTCTGGCCGCTACCTCATCCAATATAGCATCTAATAGACCTTCCATAAATACTGTAACAAGCCCGCTGTTTGTCCAGTTTACCTGAGAAGCCAAGGTACAAAACTGGATAGCGTAGTCAGCAACCGACCTGGATCCCTATTTGATTCTCATCAATGCTTTAGCGACATTTTTAGCCCTGCTGGTAGTGTCAAAGGTCCTGCAAAAAGCTATAAGGAAACCTTGAAAATTATGAACCAGAGGACCATTAACCTCCCATATGGGATAAGCCCACTCAAGTGCCTTATCAGTGAGCTGAGACATGAGGAACCCTACCTTTGAAGTGTCGGCGGGAAAGGATCAGGGATACATCTCAAAGTGGAATTCCACTTGATTGAGAAACCCCCTACAAGTCTTAGCATAACCTCCACACCTACGAGTAGGAGTCAGGTTAGATGCCTCTAAAATGGGAGGTATGGGTACCGGTGTTTCAGGGGTCAAATATGCGGTTCTGGACAAAAGTGCCTGAAGCGCCTGGGCTATCTGGTCCATATGGTGATCCTGCTCTTCAAACCTCGCCTCATAGGTGGCCATTTGCTGTCCTAAACCTGCAGGGTCTATGACTCTATCGTAATGTCACAGTGTATTACCCCAACACGCAGAGTTTAGGATAGCAAGGGACAAGACTAGGATAGACTACCTTAGAATAGCCGGACTAAACGTCAGACAGAGATAAAGCATAATCAGAGATGAGCCGAAGTCAGGGTAATGGAGAAACAGCGAAAAGGAGAACTAACCAGAGTCAGGTACACGGTAATCAGTCAGATGGCAAACAAGACAGGAAAGGGTTAAATGTAAACTCAGAGTCAGATATAAAGCCTAGGTCAATACCAGAATAAACACAATAGATCAGGGAATGCACTAAAGGGTACGGAAACCTAAACCACGATAGGGCTAGGGAGGTTTAAATATCCTTTAACTAACATTTGATTGGCCTACATAATACCTACGCCCCCAAAACGTGCATGTGTAGGGGTGCCGGAATGACATAGGCCAATGGGAGCCTTAATCCACTTTTGGCTCCCACTGCCCCTTTAAGAGCACTCTTGTAACGCAAGCCGCGCTCCTAGTGCCAGGCGGGCCGCGTGACCGCTCACCCGCTCAGAAAAGGAGATCGAGCCACGTGTGGCTTTTGTGGAGGCAGGAGTGCTCGGGCCGCGCAGCTCGAGCTGAAGACCCCGGACGGCCCCCGGATAAGGTAAGTACCGCCACAGGCTTGTATTTCAATATTATTTTATTATTATTTTATTATTTATATAGCGCCATCACATTCCGTAGCGCTGTACAATGGGATATGTTTCCTCTTTATTGTATATTAAATGCAGCCACTCTTAGGACAGGTAATATGTCTGCTGCAATCCAGTCTTTTACTGTTATCCTAGATTTTTTTGTGTTGGGGTTATTCCTTGAGACACTGAACCACTTTTATATTCTCACCAATTGGAAAAAGAAAAATACTTATATTTTTTTGCATCACGATGGAAAAAGGGCATATGACCAACAATAAATGCTCCAAAACAAATTAAAGAAGGGGGTACTGACAGACTAGACATGTTCTGTGCATACAGTACATTGTCAGCAGCCCTTCTGAAATGGTGCCAGCCCGTGCCTGCCAAATATCCCTATTATGCTATTCTCATATTAATTAAGGAGGATTTTTTCAGTTTTCTTATATTGCCCTTTTTTTCTGGAATAAATACTTCAATAATTGAAGTCTAGTAAAGAAGTGCATTTTGTTTTTAAAGAGTGCTGTCACTGTGTGATGATAGATGATAGTTAGTCGGTGCTTGAAGAACTACTTGATTGAATGTACATAGGGAGAGAAAAAAAATATTTATGGCAAATCATTGTTTTAACCCCTTAAGGACACATGACATGTGTGACATGTCATGATTCCGTTTTATTCCAGAAGTTTGGCCCTTAAGGGTCTAAGGGGTTAAACCAATATTTAATTATAAAGATATAATAACTTGCAATGCATTATGTGCAATAGCACTTATTTCTAGGAGTTATATGCCTGTCATGGTACAATGCACTTTATTTTCATTTAATATTTAAAACTCTAATTTAACATAGCATGAAAACCTGTGTTTATAATGTTGAGATTGGAAGTCTAATGTTCCCCTAAATTTGGAATAAGGTCCAATAGTCACATCTCTACTTTCATATAGTAATAATTCTGTATAATAATAATTATGATACAAAAATTCTGTATAATAATTCTGATATCCATAAAAGTTGGAAAAAAACCCACTTCAAATATAATGCATATTTATTTCTTAAATCTTTCTTTTTGTATCTAATTGTTCATAGATTCACTGTATACTCTTCATAAAATCTGGAAATTTGTTTTGTTACAAATTAGGAATGAACAGCTGATTCAAATTCCGGAACTCCAAGCCAAAATGTAGCTAAATTACAAACCAAGCGCAATGGATGAGCATGTCCATTTTTATTCTAAATTCTGAAAGTCACACCTTGAACTCTGTGTCATGCTCCTCAAACTATTCCTGAACAATTTTTGTGCAGGGTCTGCAAAAGTTCTAAGGAGGTGGTGTCAAAGTTGGTATCTTAATTATATAAAATAATGCTGGCCTGAAAATTATTTATTTTCAGGCAAAGTAGATGAGCAAAAAATTTTTTTTTTCTCTGTGCACAAGTCTAGTCTCCATGTGCTTACTCAAGTGATGCTGTCAGCCAATAAAAGACCAGCAGAAGCCAAATGCTATTCAGCTGGTATTAAGGAATGCTCGGTGCCTGATAGGAGCTAGGACCTTCTCTCCTGAAAAGCAGCATTTATAGTTTTTCCCCACACATTAGTCAAGACTGAATGTAGAGGGTAGAATGAATCTTTATTGCACACAACACGGGTATTTATATAAAAACATTTTGACTAATGCTCGGTGGGGTCCTCCATACAATGCTATGACTCTTACAGTTTTCCCTCTCCAACTCCAGCCGACAAGATGTGCAAAATGTCTCCTAGAAATCCATATCTCTGGTCAGCACCACCACACATTACATATCCCTGGATAGCTTGTCACCAAGCACCCTTGCTGTCTAAATAGTGCCCTGACCAGTGAATCCGCACCCGAGCTAAAACATGTTAATATTCTACCAGGTTGCAGCTATTCTCCGATCTGTCGCGGAGTTCCAAGTTTGTGGCTGGTTAGTCCCAGTCTCACAAAATGGGGTTCCTGAGGCTCTGAGGAGAACAGTACCCCCATACGTTAAATATCCAAATTTCCTCACTGTCGAAATAGTGCCTTGATCGGTGGTCATGGGACCAAGAGATACCTAATCAAAGATTCACCAGATCATGGCACAGTTCCGTTCCGGGGAAATGTTCCAGAGCTTTTCAGGGTATCTCCTGTTCAGGTGCTCAATCTGCAGGATGGGTCCAGGCAATCTCCAACTCTGACTGAGAGGCCGAATAAGCATCCAGGTGGTCTCCATAACCCCTTCCCATAGTGACATAAGCCTTTTTTTCCATGTTGGACTGAGGTTTCTTGACAGGTGTGCTGTGGTAAGGTTAAGTTTTCCCTTACCGCAATACGTCGACAGGGTATGCATGACCTCATAACCACTATAGTGGGCTATAGTAATTATGATGCTCAAAGTAACCCTTTAACTTGATTGAAAACTTACCATTTTTATTTCTTCTTTAGAACGTTCAAATATATTTGGTAAGTTGATCTCAGATTTAGTGATGTACCGAACGATTCGCCAGCGAACATAGCATGTTCGCGTTCGCCACAGCGGGCGAACATATGCGCGGTTCGACCCGCCCCCTATTCGTCATCATTGAGTAAACTTTGACCCTGTACCTCACAGTCAGCAGACACATTCCAGCCAATTAGCAGCACAGCCTCCCTAGCAGACCCTCCCACCTACTGGACAGCATCCATTTTAGATTAATTCTCAAGCTGCATGCTTAGTAAGAGGAGGGAAAGTGTAGCTGCTGTTCATAAGATAGGGAAAAGCATAGCTAGGTTAGGGATAAGGGTATGCTTTTTTTGGATTTTTTTTTTCTATCTAATGTAAATGCACTTAGTTGTCTGCCACTGCTGCCAGCTTCTGTGTCAGGCTCACAGTGCCCATTTCCCAGTCAGTGCCACCAATTACATCTGGTGTCACAATAGCTTGGATTTAAAAACAAAAAACTTTTTTCACTGTTATAGATTGAATGGCAGTCAGTTGTCTGCCACTGCTGCCAGCTTCTGTGTCAGGCTCACAGTGCATACTGTGCCCATTGCCACCACTTAAATCTGGTGACACAAAGCTTGGATTTAAAAAAAAAACACTTTTTTCACTGTTATAGATTGAATAGCAGTCAGTTGTCTGCCACTGCTGCCAGCTTCTGTGTCAGGCTCACGGTGCATACTGTGCCCATTTCCCCAGTCAGTGCCACCAATTACATCTGGTGTCACAATAGCTTGGATTTAAAAACAAAAACACTTTTTTCACTGTTATAGATTGAATAGCAGTCAGTTGTCTGCCACTGCTGCCAGCTTCTGTGTCAGGCTCACAGTGCATACTGTGCCCATTTCCCCAGTCAGTGCCACCAATTACATCTGGTGTCACAATAGCTTGGATTTAAAAACAAAAAACTTTTTTTACTGTTATAGATTGAATAGCAGTCAGTGTCTTTAAAGCGGGTGTGTTAGGCTAACAGTGGATACGGTGACCAGAGCCACCACTTAGATCTGGTGACACAATAGCTTGGATTTAAAAACAAAAAACTTTTTTCACTGTTATAGATTGAATAGCAGTCAGTTGTCTGCCACTGCTGCCAGCTTCAGTGTCAGGCTCACAGTGCATAATGTGCCCATTTCCCCAGTCAGTGCCACCACTTATATCTGGTGTCACAATAGCTTGGATTTAAAAACAAAAAACTTTTTTCACTGTTATAGATTGAATAGCGGTCAGTGTCCTTAAAGCGGGTGTGTTACGCTAACAGTGGATACGCTGACAAGTGCCACTAATTAGATCTGGTGTCACAATAGTTTGGATTTAAAAAAAAAATAATCTTTTTTCACTGTTATAGATTGAATAGCAGTCAGTGTCCTTAAAGCGGGTGTGTTGCGCTAACAGTGGATACGGTGACCAGTGCCACCACTTAGATCTGGTGACACAAAGCTTG